CTCTACATACTGATATACACCTGAACATCAGCGGGAGAGGACTCTTTAAAGTAGAGACACTAAATACTGATATACACCTGAACATCAGCAGGAGAGGACTCTTTAAAGTAGAGACACTACATACTGATATACACCTGAACATCAGCAGGAGAGGACTCTTTAAAGTAGAGACACTACATACTGATATACACCTGAACATCAGCAGGAGAGGACTCTTTAAAGCACCAAAAGTCGACCCTAAAGTCGTGGTATTTGGTACCTGGTGGAGAATATCATGATATTTGATGTACAGCTCTATTGTGTTCTCTTGTCCTCTGTTCTTCCTCCACAGACAAATGTCTCAGGGTCGAGACGCCGCGTACGCCACGGCCTCCGGAGTGATGGTGGACAACCTGGCGCTGAGAGACGGACAGGAGGGGATCCGAGCGTTCATCGAGAAACGGAAACCAGTGTGGAGCAATGAAGCAGAGAAAGCCCACGACTGATGGACTGTTGACTCTAATAGAGAATGGGAGGAATATCCTACTTTTAAAAATGTAGATTTGTAATTGGAGACGATTGAAGTGTGAATTGTTGACTCGATGAGCCGTTGTGTGCCTTAGAAGCTGCAGTGTGGAGATGAGAAGGGAATTCATCTCTAATGACGAAATGGACTAAGAATGCTGCTCTCTGTATAATTGTAAATACAATAAATACGATTAAAAAAAATTGTTTTATATATTCGTCATACTATACTACGACTTTTGTAACTTTTTAGACATACTATACTATGACATTCTTACGTTTTTAAACATACTACACTATGACTTTTTTCTACATACTATACTATGAATTTTAAAACTTTTTAGACATATTATACTTTGACTTTTTTATACTTGTCAACATTTTTTTTTTTAAACAAGAAAGTATAGTTATCTAAAGAAAGTCAGAAAATATGACAAAGATTAGATACAACTTTATTGTTATCGCACATTGTGCAAGAAATTCACTTCGCATCCAACCAGTAAGTAAAAAGTTTAGATAAATTGCAGACGAGGTTGCATTTTATTAATTTCAAATACAGTATATTGGTTACAATACAAACAAGTTGCTGCATCTACGAGGCGAGGAACAGACCAGAGACTCATCTCAATTGAATATTTCACCTCCTCCTTTCCCTCACTCGCGTCCCTTCCTTGTGTCTTAGCTCCGTAAGATGCGAGCGAGAGACACGAGGAGGAGACGCGAGGACAGAGGAGTCCTCAGGTATTCATTGGGATGTCCTCGTTCACTCAAACGTCATTTTTAAACGACGTCTGTTAATGATATGTTCACAGCTGTATCCCCTCTCATCGGGCTTAACTGAATAACCCTTTAGAACCGGACCTTTTGTTGTTAAATATTTATTTAAATGAATAAATCTTTCTCTTGTTAGTCAAGGAATTCAATGTATGATGGTTGGTCCTGCTTTTGTGTTCCGTTTTGGTGTAAAATGTACATTTAAATAGTAATATAATGATAGTGAAAGCCTTTACTCTGAAAATGTGTGTCCTGTAGATCCCCACATTCAGGACTGTGAATTGTAAATAATTTAACTACCAAATATTTAACACAAAACTATAAAATAATTGTTATTTATCAAGATCTAGCCATTTATGAAATAGCTTTCTTAATAGCTATGTTTTAGTGACGTTCAAGATCATTAAACATGACTTAAATTGTTGGTATAACCTTAAGAAATGAATTGCACATAATAAGCTGTGAGCACTTTATGTGACGCTCCCCCTCATTCTTCAAGTTCTCCGTGTTCCTGGGTTGAAATCATAGACTGTATATATAACATTGAAATCGACCAGCTATGAAGGTGGGGGCGGGGCTTATATACGCGAGTAGTGAAAACACTTCCGCCTAGTCTGCTCTCGTGTATCCTCCCTTTCGTCTCCACTGGAAGCCTCTCATATTGGCTCCCTCAGCGATTGGGACGTCCTTCAACATGGCGTGTCTTGATCGATTTCCGGGTCAAGTCCCGGAGGAGGGGGGAGAGACGAGTCGAGGAAGGATATTGAGATGAACTACCTAGGT